TTACAAATTGGAATTTTGGAATCATCTGATCTTTATCAAGTATCCGTACCTCATATAATCAATGATATGGAATCATTGATAATAAATAAAGATACTTCAATAATGTCAATTAACAATCATACAAAGTATTTAGATTCTTCGTATGGAGTCAAAATAAATAGTAAGTTATTTAAAATTTATATTAAAAATATTGTGAACAATTTTATAAAGTAATTTAATCTTATATAATTTTTTAAGTAAATTTCTTGGATGAAATAAAATACAAACTACTTGAAATATCAATTGGATGTGTTATATTAAGTATGATTGCTCTATGGGCCCGTTATACATATCCAAAGGTAAAGAATACTATTATATTAATTTTATACTAATACTTTGCAATTCTTCTTGCATGAATTAAATATTAAGTTTCTGATTTCCTATATATAACCTTATATAGGGACAAAGTTTTATGATATTTACTGTGGCATTTATGTTGTTTGATTCAGTTATGGATGTTTTATTTATTGTCAAAAATGGAAAAGACGTTCCTTCGCTATACATACCCAGGTGAGATTATATAAAATTTATTATAAATTTATACATAAATTAATTATTAACAAATACTAATTCTAAACACTTTTATAAATTTAGCATTATTATATTATGTTTTGCAATACTGACTAATTTATCTGCTGCAATTCTATTCATAAGTTATGAATTAAAATATAATAATTTATTTGCTAAATGGATTTATCAGTATATAAATATTGTTCCAATATTTGTTATACTTTCAGGATCAAATGTAATGATTTTGGAATTTTTGGCTTCAAATTTTGGTGGATTTGAATTTTTTAATGCACCATTTTTGAGTTGTACTAGAAATTGGATCTTTTGGGGTTCTATTACTAAAACTATCATAGAAAATATTCCTCAATTTATTATACAGGTTCGTAAATACAATTTTTTTTTATATAAAAAAAGAATAATTCAATAATTTATTAAAATTATAAAAAATTTTATATTTAGATTTTATATTTTCAAAATACGGTCAAATATGAAGCTATTCCATTTTTAACATTAGTAACCGGATCTATTGTTTTGTTAAACGATATTATTTTAAAATTATTTCGATTTATTAACAATAGATATCATTTACTTGAATTAAATTTAGATGATGATATCAAAGAGAGTTCCATTAAAAATATTTATTTAAAAAAATAATAAAATTATAAATTTGGTTAAAGGTTTAAAAAATTTTAGTTAATAATATTACGATATACATTAGAAAATAGGTACAGATTGATCTGGAATTTAAAATTCATTTACAATTACATCATTACGT